ACTATTTAGCTTGTGTGATTCAACATTTTCAGGTGATTGAGATCTTCATGTTTGAACAATTCTCTGTGATTCGCTGTGAAATTTGGTATTAGTGATAATATATGTTCTGTTCGTAGGACATGTTGCAGATAAGAAGATTACATTTTTTTCATCTCCAGTTCTCCATTGGACAATTTCTTTAGCACATTGTTCATAATTGACTGAGGCCATTGCAAGATTTAGTATTAAAGGCTGTTGTTAGTACGGGGAATATAACTAATGGATTCTGAGGGTATTTTGGTGTTATATGAAACTTGGCTTTTGGGTTAGGCTAATAAAATACACAAAGCTAATTGTCAAATAGTTTAACTGTAGAAATTAAAGAAGATCTGAATCAGAACCATGGAAAAGCTGATTTGAGATTGAAACTGTATACAAAACCAACAATGTATGCTCTTAAAACAAATTATGAGACCTACGTAAGTAAATCCATGTTGGTTGCTAAATCTAAGTAAAGCTTTATCCTTCTATCTTTACATGCCTTCGAACTTTGTTGATCTCTGGTTGTCCTTGAAATAGTATAACGTAGCATCTCTACAAAATTGTGGGGTTACGGAGTGGAATTTTTTCATATGATGATCTCAGGTTTCATGTATCAACGAGGACATCTGACCGTCTTTGGACATCTACCGTTACTTTGTCAAAGGTAGCACATAATTCTGCACATCTTTTAACGCACTGATTGGATTTTCCTTTGTAAGATATTCAGTTTGCTATATATGTGCACGAATTGTTTTAGGGTCTGCGAACTCGTGAACAAGAAGATGAAGTTTCTAGCCAGTTCGTACTGAAGGTACTGTACAAATCCTGCCCTTTTCAGTAGAGAGGGTCTAATCAGGTTACTTTAATTGTAGAAATATAATGGGTTTTGACTATATAATCAATGTTGAAGTGTGGATATATATAATTAGATGGATGCCTAATAGGTATCTTAGTGTCTGAAAATGATGTAGGCAATAGCATATGCTTGCAAGGTTCCAACAACTTTTGTTCCTGAGATAACTGATTCGGAAGTTCCAGATGAATTTAAATTGCATTTTGATGAAGATCAAGAATTGGAACAACTTATCAATGGTCAAATATGCTTTAAGGTTTACCCCTTCTTAAGTGGTACGGGTTAAGATATGCACATTCTTCTTTACGGTCTCATTGTTGTTCATTGTGAAGGGAATGTTGTGCAGATATACAAAAGGCAGAGAGGAAGATAATTCTCTCCGGCTCTTTTAATCCCTTGCATGATGGCCACCTAAAGCTCTTGGAAGTTGCTGTTAGGTATATTCCTCTTTTCATCGGAACTTGTGATTTTATGCTTCCGAATTTTCCTTTATGTGTCGAATTGGAATTCCTAGATGGAGCATGATGAAAAAGAAAAAAAAGAGCATCTATATGCACATTAGTGTATTAACCAGTGTTATGTGTTCCATTTAGTTGTGGTAATCGGATGGATTGGATCTGAATTACAATTTTCGAAAAAAATCCGATTTTCTTCGGAAGTGAAAAACTAATTCCAATTCCTTTAAAAAAATTATCGGAAAAATCGGGAATCGGAATCGGTGGAATTTCGAAAAATTCCAAATTTTAATAACCTAAAATATAAAATATACATAATAATTTTGACATTATAACGTATGAGTGTAATTTTCTGGGAAAAATAAAATCGGAAGTTTTTTGGAATTATTTTTGGAAATTGGAATCTCAAAAAATGAAAATCGGGATTTGGAAAGAATTTGTTTTTTTTTTTTCAAAAATAAGAAATTTTCGGATCGAAATAGGTGGAAATCTGAAATTCGTTCCAATTTCGACCCCTAGTTCCATTAATATGTTACTTTTTCTATTGATTCTGAAACTATCTTGTGCAGCATTCTTGGAGAAGGATACCCATGCTTTGAGTTGTCAGCGGTGAATGCAGATAAACCTCCACTGACTGTGTCCCAAATCAAAGAACGTGTAGTCAATTGAAAAATTTGGTGAGGACTAACATACGATCTTCAAATTTGTATCTATCTCATTTAAATGTAATTTTACTGTCCATATGCATGTTTCCTGGTGATTGGAGTGTGTTCATGCACTTGCTGCTATCTTATATTCAAATGATTCGTATACGGTCCTTTTCTTATTTAATAAATGCTATTGAATTCACCAGCCCTTGATTGGTGTACATCTAACTGAACTATTAATCGTCTCTGTCTTTAAAATGCAGGAAAGACGGTCGTAATTTCCAACCAGCCATATTTTTACAAGAAAGCCGAACTATTTCCTGGCAGTGCTTTTGTGATTGGAGTAGACACTGCAGCAAGGCTTATAAATGTAAGGGAATCAAATTAAGATTTATTTATTATTCCGATGAGTTCCTACATTTATCGCAGCTTAGTCCAATTGCCGTTCCATCTCTTCGTTTTCTTGATCACATCTTTATAATTTTTTTTCTGCGAAAGCCAATAAATAGCACACAAGTTATTCGTAAATAAAAGCTATCTTTGTTTTTCAACAGCCAAAGTATTACAGTGGGGACTATAATAGAATGCTGGAAACTCTCTCCTCTTGCAAAAGCACAGGATGTGTTTTCCTTGTTGGCGGTCGAAACGTTGATGGCGATTTTAAGGTTTGCGTTCTTGAACCTTAATTCTTTTACTTCGACAGTACCCTTCATTTTTTCTTATCGTAAAAAAAAAAAAAAAAAAAAAAAAGAAAGAGTGTGACCATTGTACGATTCGTATAGGTTCTTGATGATTTCGATATTCCTGGGGAGCTGAGAGATATGTTTATCCCAATACCAGCAGATAAATTCCGTATGGACATTTCATCGACAGAAATCAGAAGTCGAGGAAATCTTTAATTTACGATGTTCATTCATATACATATATAGAAAATGCAGATATTTAATTTGTGGATTTTTTTATTTTTTATTTTTATTTTTTGTTTCCAATATTTATGACTGTGTGAGAATGTAACTATCGTAGGTAGGGCTGTGCATGGATCGGTTTTAACCACCAACCAACCCATTTTCGACCCACAATTTGTGATGGTTAATCAACCATCAACCGACCCATTTAAGTTGGGTCGATAATCTCAACCAACCCATGTATAGTTGGGTCGATAATGGTTTCTAATATGCTAAAAAGTTGGTTAGTTGGTTAATATCGGCCAACCAACTTTATTCATTAATTTATTATTTATTAATGTTAATTAAAATATTTAATATTTTTAATTTCAAATTTCTATTTTATATCATATTTATTAAATTGTTTAATATTGACCAAAATCCTAAAAGTAATAAATCTAACCTAATTATCTAATTTGAACTATTTTAATGTTAAGACATATAGTCTAAATATTTGGACGATTATTATTTGTTGAACTATTTATGTTTAATTGTAATATATATGCCCGTAATGTTTTGAATCTTTTATTTGAATATTATTAAACTAGTCGCATTTAATTTATAAAAGATATAAAGTTGTAACAAGTAATAAAATATTAAAAAAAAATAAAAAAAATATTCAGATGGATGACCCATCAACCAAACCACCAACCAACCCATTAAATTGGTTTCCAACCATCACCCAACCCATGTAAGTTGGGTCGATAACGGTTTCCAATATTTACCAAAGTTGGTTGGATGGGTTGGGTTGGTTTTCTGGCTGGTTTTCAACCAAACCAACCAACGCACAGCCCTAATCGTAGGGGTTAGAGTTGCCGGCCTACACACCCTTCATTAATTCTCCAATTAATCTTTCTTGGTGTTTATTACCCACAAAAAATATATTTTATGGTTGTAATTGGATTAATACAGTTGTAATTGCAATGTGTGTGAAAAATGTATTAGGTTATGTTGATAATTAAATATAAAAAAAATTATACAATTAAATTGTGTTTTGAAACTAATAGTCTTTTTGGTAATATTATAACAAAAAATACTATTGATTTGTTATCACCATAGAATCATTTAAAAAAATGATTAATCGGTCAATAGTAGAAAAATGATTTTTTACTACGACTTCTTTTGATACAGTAAAAAACCGTAACAAATTACTACTAGTGTTAAAACTTACATAATAGTATCTATTAAAGAGAGAAGAATTAGTTTTATCACTTTTTCATCACCACCTATATGTTGTTGAGTTAGCCGCCACAGGTGGTACCACACGCGCCGCCGCCGCAAGCTGAGCCGCCGTATGTGTCAGTATGGGAGGTCGCCGAAGCTTTGTCTTCTGAGGCGCCACCGGCACAAGAAAACATGACGGAAACGATCAGAAAGAGGCTGAGCAAAGACGCCCACACAGCAAAAATCGCTCCGCCGGAGCCAAAGCCAAAGCCTGCGGCGGCGCCACCCTCCCAGCTGCTGCTATCTGCACCTACTTTCCATTGTCTCACCATCTAATTAAATTAATTAAGCACACAAATAATATTTTTTTTCTCTCTCCAGCGTACGGAACTTTCTCTAATTATATATATAGATATATATTGACAATAACTTATCTTATCAGAGTGACGATATATATTGTGAAGAGTGAATTAATAATCATTAATTAAAATAAAAGTAGAATTAAATTAAATTAATTATAAGAGAGACAGTCAAAAGAATCCAACTTGCTGGCTTTTATATGCTTTGTCAACGTCGTTCATGCTAATCCAGAATCTAGAGATTAGTTAGTTAGGCTGATTATCTGCCAATCAATCCACTTGTAAATTACATTATATACTCAACTAATTACCTACACTTAGCTCCTATAAGATTTGGTCTAATTATATATTAATAAAGGTAAATTACAACCACCCCTGAGATATGGTCAATTTACAAAAAAACCACTCTTGTTTGGATAATTACATCCACCTTCTCAGCTATGATTTTTTCTTACATCTCTACTCTTATGGTGCTAAATTCAACATGATCGTCTAGATTTCGTGAAATGTGCTCTAGTTTGTACTCATTTTGTGTAAAAATACAGTTTCTGATGCACCACAATCTGATATATATAATCTTAAAAACACATATTATGATCATCTTGCTTTAAAATGTGGAGTTCGAATATGATAAAACGGGTACAAAAGTGATAATAATCCATATAATCTCAAAAATTCCACAAAATTTGAAACCGCAAGGGTGGACAAGTAAAAAGATTTATAGTTGAGAGGGTGGTTGTAATTATCCAAACAAAAGGGGTTTTTTTGTAATTTGACCATATCTCAGGAGTGGTTGTAATTTACCCTTAATAATAATACATTTATTTCAACGTTCACTAATTATAAAGTTATAATATTCAATATTTCAATATTTCCATGCACCACCATTCAAAAGAATTGACCTCCGCACACCGGCCATATTTAATCACCATTCAAACTAGGATTAGGTAATTAATTATAGAGATGAATTTTGATATACATATTTACAGGGATTTCCCTCTTTAATTTTATAGATCCTAAATATTTTTTTTCTTAATATTTTTTTTTTGGGTTTAAAAAATTACGCCTATCAAGAAATGACAAGTGCAAAAATTAAAAAAAGAATATTCGAAATATTCTTAATTTCTAGGTTCGAAAATGAATTGCCCAAACGATGAGCAAGATGTGGATGCAGATTAATGAGATAGGGAATAAGAAAGTCGGCAAGATACTTCAATTACTTTGACTTTCATTCATCTCTTTTCTGATGATAGGTCACAAAAACGACACCAAATTTTATTCTATTTATTTAATTTTTATTTTTAGTGCAGCTAAGAATATAATGCAAAAACGTATGAGCTTTAAAAAACAAAAACGGAAAAGAATATCCATCATCTAGATAACATAGAATCGGGCCTGGCCCGTTGTGCTAA